AGCCCTAGGGTTTCTTTTAAAACACACACACACACACACATTTATTTATTTAGCTACTGTAACAAGGGACTTGCAGGCTGTATGCAAACATAAGACTAGATGATTTGATGAGATTTGTGAGTGTTTGTTTCTCATTATATAACGCTGTTAAGCAAGAGTTAAGACCATTCTCCAATTTTAATTTGGTTGGGGTTTATTACTTGCATTTTCTGAAAAATGCTTTGCTTGATAACTTTAGTCCTTTTAAAGAGGTTTTGACCAGATAAACGAGGATTATGCCCTATCTTATATGCAGGGTAGCTTACTTGAGTTTGTGCATAATTTGATGGTTTTGAATTATATTTAAAACAATGAGCAACCAAATTGTAGATGACTTACGCGACAACGCCTAAATTGAGTTTGTTTTATGAAATAGTTTATACCGACTCATTTGGAATATCATAATTAGCAAGAAAAGACCCATCTCTTAGCTAAGAAGCCATAAAAAAGCTGACAAATTACAGACTTGACATAATAGGATTTGAAATGCCTTGATTGTAGTTGAAATCACTTAAAACATCTTCTGTTTGTAAAACTGCTCATGTTGATGTGTTTGGAGCTTCAAAATTACTAAGGGTTCTGTCATTGATTTAATTAAGCATGATGATAACGATAGACAACAAAGATCTCATTGCACATTCATGGTTTGAAATGCCTTGTTTGCAGACAAAATCTTTTGAAACGTCCTCTATCTGCAAAATAGATTGAGCCGATGCATCTGAGTATCAAAAATTTCAAGAAATAATCTTGACAATTGATTTGATAAATAATGATTAACATGACAGACTGGGCGTGACGTTCAAATAATGCTTGAAATGCTTCAAGCGCAATAAAAGCTGCTCAAATATAATCTTTTGTAAAATAGACTGTTGATGATTCCTGAACATAAAAATGCTATCAACATGAACTTCAATGCAAGCTGTCAAGTCAATGAGAAAATGTGCAAAAAAATCAATACATATATTATTTCTTCTTTCTTATTATTGCTAAAAAATCAATTTTAAAATTAAACCTTTTCTATATAAATCAAATCCCAAATCCTCGTACCCCGTCAAATTCCGCTAATCCCAAGATCTCATACCGTAGCAGTGTAGTTGGTTGTGTCCAGTCCCTTCCCACCCTGTAATTAAATGAATCAAAGAACCCAAAATCTAAACTAGGCTAGCTTTCCCTTCTCCCTTTGCTCTCTCCCCTCACTCTTTTTTACTCGCTCACGTCATGAGAGGCCCTATCTTTCTTTATCCCTCAAACTTAATCTCTCTCAGTTTTTCAACCCTCTTCGCTGTCTCTGTCGATCCCTTTTTGTAAAGTTTAATAATGACATTCAACCAGCAACAATCTTCTCTGTGAATTGTGAGTTTCCACATCATTAGTTACCTCTCTACTTTTTTTTCTCAATCTATAATTTTCTCTCCTCCCTCTGTCTATCTCTAACCATCTTTCTCTTTATTTCTCTCTATATATATTTCTATATTATATTAAATAAAAAGAATTAGTGAGAAAAAAAGAAGTGATTAAGATGAAAGAAGAAAATAGGAGAAATAAATGAATAAAAAAAAATGAAGCTCATTCATCAACATTTTTTTGATAAATAAGAGAGAAATTTTGGGGGAAAAAAAGAGTTTTTGTATTTTTTTAATTCTCGCATCATCTCATTCTCATCATTTCTTCATGTGCAAAGGATAACGCAATCCTTTTGAGTCTCCACAAAATTGTTTTTACAATGAATATGGTACGAAGAGCGAAGCCTTTTTTTAGTCTGCTAGGAGTAATTTGTAGGTGACACTCAGGATGTAGTGATTGATCCCTATGTTTGCTTTTCTTCGCTTGGTGGTGGAAATTATATATGTTACAAAAAAGAAACTCTCTTGTTATTATCCCATACGCGCATTTCTTGGCATAAAGAGCTCTGAGAATTATTATCGCAATGTCTTGTCACATTGATCATACATGATTTGCTTAGCACGGTGGGCAAGTCTAACACTTTTGTGAACTCCTGTGCTGTCGAGACATTAGATGTCTATCAAAACTTGAAGGGGCTGAGACTTAATGAACTACATGTGAAAAGCATGTTTCAGCATAAATACAAAAGAGAAAGAAAATGATGAAGAATGTATAATGAAGACGAGAATAAACAAGATATAAAATTGCTAATATTAAAAAAGAATGGGTACAATAAATATGCAAACAAGGTACTCGAAATGAGCCGACAAAGGACCAATGAGGCACTTGTAATGAACAATAGTGTGCTTATGAACAAGTACAAAATCTCTCTGTAGCTTTTAAAACACCCAAATTTTACACACAAATGGCCAAGTGGTTTTAAATGCTTAAATAAACTAAGGGCGGGTCCTCCTGTCTATAGGAGAAAAATTGGCTCCATGATACGAAAATACAAACACATAAATCACATCATGAAGTATTTAAAGATTCTAATTTATTAAAACACTCATTAGATCCCTCAAACACATATATATAGACATAGGACACTACAATCAAAATGAAACTTTGAAATGCATTAGGATGTCCACACAAACATTCAAATTTAGATACTTTCAAGTCTGACATGTGCTTTATGAAACAATTTTCAACTCAAAGATCATGTCTCGAAAGTTGTGCGAATTGTTTTTAAAAGGAATTTCTGTAAATTCTGTTAATCTATTATTCTATGGTTATATATGCTTCACCAAATATGTTAAATATTTAATTTTAATATTTGAGAATACTGCACAGACTAAACATAAATTGAACTAAAAAATTACCATGCTTCGAAAGTTGTATAAGCTGCTTTGAAAATATGCAAGTTCTCTAAAGTATGCTTAAACCTATCAAATTGAACGTTTCCGCATGTGGTTAGGTAAGTTAAACTCTTAAATCTAAAGTCTAAAAATGTTGTGTGAAGTAGAAATAAGACGAACTCAAACCACCCTCGCTCAGAGAAATGTGCATCCACTCTTTAAGTAGATAGGGTTATTTTCAAGATATCTTTTAAAGAAAGCACTTTTTCTTTTGAAATATTAATGTTTTACTTCAAACAAATAAGGAACAACTGTCAGGTTCGAACTTCAAACTCGATTCAATATGTCATATACAAAAGTCCAAATGAATCTAAATATCTGGATAATATTTTATCTTGAATCTAATATGCTTTCAAAAAAATTGACATAGAACACATTATATTCTCTCAGGTAAATTGAACGTGAATTTTCAAAGCCCTGATAAATGTTAAAGCACTATGGCTGCTATTTATTTTACTTCTATCACCGAAACTAGGAAAGATGGTTATTGTTGGGCATAACAACTGTATGATGGCATTCTACACGTCATGAAATATGGGCATAACATCTTGATTTGAATGAGTTGAGCATAAAATAATGAAAGATGTTTTTTTGAAGAAAGATATGTAAAGTTTTCACCTTACACAACAAGAAAATTGCATTAGTCTTTCTCTGTTCTAAAATAGGCATTCACAGGTCTTCAGGAGTTAGAGCTAAATGCATGCGTAGTATCACTACACTACAGAGGTAAATCCCATTATACTAAGAATGACGTACATGGTTGGTATTTGTCTACCTGTGATCTTTGTGACAAGACATTTGAGCTGGAGCTTTGGCTGTGACCTGAGCAAGTCTAATACAAACAGGAAATGAAGAGAGAAGTTGAGATAATAAAATTAATTGAAGAATCGCCTCTTGAAAAAGCCTCGCACTACATTATTTCTATATTGCTTTGCCATCCTTGAGGGATTATGATTTCAAAAATTTTAAATTAAAATTTTTATTAATTTTGATATTAACTTAGTTCTTTAACTTCAATACCTTCTCCCTTTCTTGGCACATGCAACATGGGATTAGTGAAAAGGGTCATAGTGATCTTTGTTTATGTAGTATGGCACTAATTGTAAAAAGTAACTAGCTTGAAACGTCTGTTAATTGTGTGAATGGTAAAAAAAATTACTGAATAAAGTGTAAATTTTATGATACTTGAGCATTTTTTAAAATTTAGCTTTTGATCATGATTCCATTAATTAGAGTCAAATTGGCTAATTTCCTGAAGATAGCTGTTGTAGTGAATTGCGTATTGACCTTTGCAAATAGATTGTTTGATTTTGATGAGAGAAGATTAAGGTATGCTCTGTTTACTGAAAGAAATTAAAATCTTGATTTATGTGTATTTTCTCACTTATAAAATCAGAATCATCTTAAGAACATTGAAATTGTAGGGGATCATGACACGAATCCACTTGCAAAAAATCATGGATTTTTGATAAATATGGGTAAAAATGCACATTCTTACAAAAATTGAGATGGACTTGGAATTTTTTATAGGTGTAATTTAACTCGTGTTTGAGATTGATTTAACTGGTGAAACTAACATTAAGGGAATTGAGTTACCCATCCACCATATTAGAAATAATGCGATTTTGATAAATGATGTTGGAGACATTCTCAAATCTTTATTACGTCACTTGCATTTTTGGTTGATATGGTTGGGCCTTTGTACCAATTTTTACAGATCATTCTGCAACCTCTCTCTGGTGTGTTGGACTTCTATTCAGTATTATAGACTCAATTAATGGACCTAGATTATGGTTCGTTCTGATTTGAGTTATGGCTTATACATGGAGTAAAACAGTGATTATTTTTCTTATTTTTTGGACATGTTCAAAACAACCTAACTACTCGTTCTACCATGTACTTGAATTCTTAGAAATTGTGCTGGACATTTTTTTTTTTGGCATTCAATTATGCTTTAAATGTCAGAAGTATAAAAAAATGAAAAAAAACAAAAAAACTAGACTTTTTTTTCCCGCCAGGTCTTATGTTTATTGTAGTTTCACTAGTTTTCCCTTTGCTTCACGTTAAGAATAGCTTCAGTTTGTAATTTTTTTTAATTGAGAATTTGCCTTACCTTATTTCTTTCTATTTAAAGTTAGTAAGCTACATTGTTTTTGTAAACAGTTACTGAGGATTTCTCCTGTCCATTTTGCTTGGTGCAATGTTCCAGCTTCATGGTTTGTTTTCCTGACATTGTATAATGTCCTCATTACTTTTAAAGGATAGTTGGACCGTCAAGATTCCAGCTGTCAATCTAATGTTCAAAGTTCCTTTTTTACAGGGTCTTAGGTATCACTTGTGTACATGTCATGACTTATTCAATTTTGAATTCTGGGTTGGTAAACTTCTAGAATCTTCACTTCTTCCATAATAATTTTAGATTTTTGGATTGTTTTGAGGAATCAACAGATTGAGTTTTTACAGGTAACTGAGGAGTATCAAGCAGTAAATGTTTCAGTTAGGACAGATATTTCACGATCCGAGGTTAGTGATGCATCATAAATTGATATTTTATTGGTTTTATGCAGCTCTACCATACAGTTTAGAGGCACATCATCATCATCGTTATTATCATCATTAAGATTAACACAATTATTTGGGGTCGGATTATCCCATTTAGACATTGTATACATTCATTATAGCCTATAATTTGATTTATAGGCTCATCATCATCATCATCCTTATTAATAGCTTTATCTCAACTATTTGGGCTGCCTTATCATGTTTAGTGGTCATATGCCTCAATTAGGTGTTACTTATGGTTGACATGAATTTATTTTTGGACAAAATTTGATGTCTCGTACATCCTAGTTCACTCTATTTTGTGAGATAATAAGAAGGCGAGCTTGGGGCATTATTTATATTGTCTCCATTATATCCTAGAAGCTGGATGTTTTACTAATAGAGACAAGCTATCTGCATTGTATCAATAATTATACTAAGAATAACATTTTGCTACTTCGTTGTCAATTTAGAGATGACTGATTGGTATGGTAAGTATTTTTGTTTAGCAGAGTGAATGATTTTAATAACCCCTCTTGAGTGGTCTATTGTTTTGTTGGAATTTGGTATTAGGCCCTCTTAGATGGTGTTGATCCAAGGCTGCAGACTTTTTCTTACTGGTAAGCACTCTCCCTATGACTTTATGTTTTTTCATTCAATTCGACGTGTTCCAAAGGTATAGGGATTTTTCAAGTCTACCTACATTTATCATCCTGTCCATATGATGCAGCTCAAAATTCAGGAGGCGAAAGCGATTGAAAAACCTTGCTAAGAATGTAAATCATGTTCATCCCCAAGTTTTGGAGCTAGATTCTCCTGAAGGAGCAATGGAAGGTTCTGATGATGGTTATTTGCAGAAAGGCATGGACTTATCTTCTTCCTGTAGGCCCATATCATATCCTGGTGTTGCCGAGCTTCCAAATGGATTTAGTGGTTTGTATCATTTTGTCATTGTTTACATTTTACTTTCAATGAATGAACCTAAGTCAGCAATCTACAAAATATTAAGCATCAGACGGAAGCTCTTACAAACTTGATGAAAAGGTTGAAAAATCCTTGTATGGGGATGCCCAGTTGCTATCAACAAGGCAGAAATCTGAAAGTTATGGTTCGGAGAATCAACATGTTGTAGAGTGTATAGAACGTATGACCTCCAGTCCTGATACTGCTACATTCTGTGTGGCTACTGCTCAGGCTTCTACAAGTAATGACTGTGCTCATCTATTGTCTGGAAGCAACTTATTGCCTTCCACAATGTTGCAATTTGCAAAGACTCGCAGACTTTCTGTCGAAAGAGCTGATCCTAGAAGGTGGCTATCCTTATGCCATAATTCTCTAATATTTTTTTATTACTTCCTATACCATGATATGTTTCATTCCTGTTTTAATTCATCAATCATCAGTACAATTCATTTTATGTATTGTCCATGATCATCAATTGATTATAACTTTTATTTTGCAGTCGGGCTTTGTTGACAAAACGTCAATTTTTTCATTCACACAGAGCTCAGGTGACATTCTATCCTATTTTTGTTATTCCACACAGTTATTATTATTATTATTATTATTATTGTTATTAATGTTTTGTGTTTCATTGTTTTTCTTGCTGCATCTTACTTATGATGGAATACCATAGCTGGATGATTTTCTTGAGGGTATGAGTCCAATTACAAAATTGTGAATTTTGCATATATAGCATGACACGTAGGCCTAATTCAAACTCTAGATCTCAATCTGGGAACCAAATGGCATATCAATTGAGGTACAGATCATTGGTTGTAGCAAGGGTTGCAAAAAAATTGAAAGGTGCAATAAGAGAATACGATAAAAGGAAAACTCAGATTGCAAAATTTGGATCATTAAAGGAAGAGAAGAACTGTCATAATTGGATGTATCAAAGACTCGTGCATTATTTAATGATCTCAAATCAGTCGTAGTCCTATTTATGAATAAAAACAAATACTATAATAATGATGAAAATTTTCTTATCCTCATTTATTGTCCTTATTTTGTTTCATTTAATTTAATAAAAAAATAAAATAAATCAAGTAAAACTTTGCCTAAATTATTAGGTGCTTGATGAAGCTCTGAAAATTGGCTTGATCTCATGATTGGTTCACGAGAAGTTGAACTTTTGAAGGTTGATTTGATTGAATATTCAAAGAACATGGACAGCTCCCCTTAAAGAAATCATCTGGAGAGTACGAAACAATGTAATTAACTAAGATATAATGTGCAACCTTTTGATTTTCTTCTCTTTTCATCCATACGTCATTAAAAGCCTTTTTTTTCATTTGATGAAGAAATTGTGCTCATTTGTTTCCCCAAGTATAACTTCATCTAAATGATATTTAGGAGAGATGAGCAGAAGAGAAACAGCTGTAGTAGAAACCTCTATTGTATTAAAGAATAAACACACAAATTTAATGCTTAAAATATGACTTATGAATAAGAATCAGAACCAATCATCCTGCTTATTAAAAAAGAAATGCATGCCATATATGCAATTTCTTGATATCTTGTTTGCATGAAATGCAAGACATAATTGAGTCATGTCAATGTTAGCTTTATCACATTCTGAGCACTTTTAACATTCAGTATTTGATTTGTTCATATTATGTAATTCAATCTGTTTTGCAGCTTTATCGTGTTAGTTTTGTATATGTTGTGCAAACAATGTTGCACAACTAGAATTCACATGCGGTATTAAAGGGATAAGATATATGAACGTTTTTAGAGTTTTATCATGAACTATCTCAAATGGTTTCTTGTTTGTAGACTGACATAGTTATTAAGCAAATTCATGGTGATTTGAATTATAAATTGCTACGTAAAATGAGATTTATGGAGATATAATTAATATTTATAGAATAAAAAGGCAAATTAATGTCCGGTGATTCTGTTCTTGTTATATTAGAGTATAATTCTTTCCATTGAATAAATTAGAACATAACTTAAAGATCTTATCCTTAAAAATTATTTTGAAATATGTTTATGAAGGTTTATTTCATTGATTTACCTTATGAATTCAATTTCAATTCTCTAATTAACATCGTGGATCTTGTGCCATATCAAGGCAATTTTGAAACTTCTGTACCCTTTACGTAATCTTTTTGTGCCATATCAAGGCAATTTTGAAACTTCTGTACCTTTACGTATCAAGGCAATGTGGGTGAAACTTCTACTGATACGAGTAATGCTGGATCTTTTTGTGGGTGAAACTTCTACTGATACGAGTAATGCTGGTATTCTAGTGCTTTAACCTGCCATTTGTGGAAAAAAGTAGTGAGTTGTCATATATTATTACTGACGAAATTATAAGTTCTTGTAATGTATATAGATAATTGGTTCATTAGAAGAATCAACCTCTTATTCAATATCCTTGAATCGTTGCTTGACCTTCCTGGAGAGGACCATAGCTCTGACTCTCCAAAGGTGAATTCTTTTAACCCTTGGGAGTTGATGCAATGCATGGTCTTCATTCAAAATCTTCTACTCTAGATATTTGACAAGCTTCTATTCCATATTGCCATGAGATCGCGATAGCCAATAGTTTTTGTTTTATTGTAACTTCATTATTAACCTGAACAACAATAATTAAGATTTTTCTTTATTTATTCAGTAAATATGATTTTTTTTTTTGCTTAGAATTATCTACTTTTGTGGTTTACTTTTGCTAATTTCTATGGTTTAAATTTGATTTAAATTAAATGTAATTTTATTTTTAAAGATACTGATTAAAAAATGGTATATTTTCTCATATTATTGCAAGAGAATTTAAACTCCCCTATTACATTATAATTATTTTCCTCATGCCTCTTGCCTTCTCCCTCATGGCATGATCTAGCTTTCAGTCTAACTTTCAGGACCTGAGACTCCATCAAAATTTTTCGAAGTGGTTGTTAAGGAATTAAAATCCCCCAAGAGGCATGTGTTAACTGAATTTCGAACTTTTATTTATAGAATATATCATTTAGAAACTGTCAGAAAGAATAGTTAACACAAGGTTGTAACTGATGGAAATAAATTCGAGCAAGCCAGAGGCCAGTCCCGACAATGGCTTTAAGACGGGATAAACAACGTTGTAAATGATGGAAATAAGTTCGAGCAAGCCAGAGGCCAATCCTGACCATGGCTTTAAGTTGGGATTGAGGTTTTCCTGTTTAAAGTTTGGTTTCGCAGAGAGAAAAAGAGTGAGATTGACAAATTGGGAGGGAGGGAGAGAATTTAGTTTCACATGTCTCTTAATTTATATCATTAATTCGTAAGTGATATAAAGCCGGAAAATGATAAAGGTAATGTAAAGAAAAAAAGCTATAACTTCTCTTTTAGCTACTCTTTATCTTTACTATTCAAAACTTGTGGTAGGTGCTAAAAATGAATGGAGATAAATAAAATGATTGCATGTTATTGAGCCCAGCCTTCTTGTTCAGCTCATCAAGGAATGTTTGTTCATTTTTTTTAGTCGTGATTGATTAGTTTATTGATGCCTCAAGCTCCAGCATATTGTTAAGCTACACTTATGAAGTTAAAGCTTTTCGTTGCCTTCTTACTAGTTAGCTTTTTGCTTAGACTGATTTTTAATTTTCTTGGTTAGTTATTTTGCTCACTACAAGGAGTCTATTATTGCTTTGTTTGTTACATTTACCCTTTTGGATATACCTTTTTGCATGTCATCTGGTCATCATGCTTTCGTTTCATAAATTTGAAGCTTCTAATAGAATTGCATCAAGTTAACCTCCTTTTTTTTTTTTTCTTCTTCTCTTTTTTGTGCGTTTTGCGTTTAAAGCCGATGTCTTTGGAACAAGTATTTTCTGATCATGACAGTGAAGATGAAGTTGATGACGACATTGCTGATTTTGAAGACAGAAGGGTATGATACGATGATTCACAGTTCTTATCATTTTATTTATCAGGCTCTTCTATATTTAGAAAACTTCCCTTTTTTTCCTGCTGGCGTCACTATTATATACCTCTTTATTTACGTACCACTGCTGAAGTTTATCAATTTGCATTAGTAGGTTGTTTCTTCTTTTTGATCGGAATTATCTCTACTTAAATGCTGTTAGTAAGGTGGTTATTTTTTTCCTTACAACCACAGCGAACCATTTTCTAACTATTCAAACCATTAGCAGATGCTTGATGATTTTGTTGATGTAACAAAAGATGAAAAGCACATTATGCATCTATGGAATTCTTTTGTAAGGAAACAAAGGTATGTTATGCATTATTGGTAACTGTTTTACCTTTGTGCATTTAGTTTATTAGGAGTTTCTTAGAAAATTATAACTTCATTCTAGCACCTTTTTTTAACAAGATTTAATGGGATGATTATCATTAACCTTAGTCATTTTTGTTAGTTTCTTTTAGGGATTCATTTTGCTGTTTGTAAACAAAGAACATGTTCTCGAGAAAGATATGTTTGTTTTTATTCCTTTTGAGTGTGAAAATTAGATCACCTCTTTTGCGAGAGTTTTAAGAATATATATGGAATTTAAAATCAATATCGATGTCTGACTAGATCAAATGAAGTTGTAGAACATGGTTTCTGCTTCGCAGCTTAACGTTGAGAATAACAATGTTGTTTTTGATTCACCATACTTTATAGAGGATTTTTCTTTTTGAAATTTTAACCAACACATGACGGCAGGAAAATTAAGATATAAGCTAGATGGTAGTTTTTTATTTTCAATTAATGAATGGTTGTCATTTAAACAAATGGCTCACTTGAATATTTATGTGGCAGAGTGCTGGCGGATGGTCACATCCCATGGGCATGCGAGGCATTTACACAGCTACATGGGCAAGATTTTATTCAAGCACCAGCTTTACTTTGGTAGACTTATTTCTACAGTGTTTACTCAATTTTTTTTTGGTCTCTTTAAAATAAGAAAGCTCGCTACTGAATTTTAGCATAAGTCTTATGATTATTTGATAGCCTAACATTAACCCTTTGCCTTTTACGTTTATGAGATTAGAATGACATACAAGTTATGCTAATTTGCGGTGGAAAATGAATTATCTTAATAGTATTATGTGAGAATATGATAGAGATACAATAATAAAAACAAGCTTTTATCCCACTAAGTGGGGTCGGCTACAAGAATTCTTTTTCTCGATTGTGCAGTAACCCTCACACATTTTCTTATTATGTTCAGGTTATAGAACGCATCATTTTTAAGAAACACTCTAACATTGATATAATGATCTAAAGGATTGTCATAGTTCTTCAAAAAAAAAAAAATTATGTTGGTTGCTTACTTCCTAGCACAACACTTAACTTTTCTCATCCGGGGCTTGAGACCCAACAATGTCAGCATTTGAGAATATGATATATATGAAAAGAAAATTTAATAGATTTATAATTACCTCTATGTTTTGTGGATTTATGGTTGAGCTGTAAGGAAATTATTAATAGACAAGTTGATTGTGACATAAATAAGATGGAGCATGGCAATATCAGGAAGGGTGATTGTGAAATTATTATATGGTTATAGATATTTTTGGAGTATTTTCTACCGAAGATTGAACTTGAACCTTAACAACGAAAGTTGGAAAATGCACTAGTTAGATGAGTATATAAAATTAATATAAAAGAATTTTGAAGAAAAGAGTTACATCGAAAGTAACTTGGGAGGCACAATTCAAAAAGATTTATGCAAATATGTTAACATCTTATATAGGATGAAGTAGGAATGAATGAAAATGAGAATTTATGAAATCCAGACATTGATGACGAAAGATGCGACTTCATTCTTTCATCTTCAATACTATATATATTATGTCCGTACATATAACTTTTGTCCTTTTTGGATATCTATTTTCATTTCTTTAAAGTTTGAAATGCACTAAATGAACTTTTACATCGTGAAGGGTTTTGGAAATGCAGGGATTTAGTAAATCTAGTTATTTGGTTATATTAAAACGGAATGCCCAGTTGTGTTTATGAATTTGCGATTTGTTATTTCCTTCATTTTGCTATTCCAAAATTGACCATTTTTTTTTCTATTTTTGAATAGACTGCACCATCTTCCCCACCCACCACACCCGCCCACTGCTGTTGGCTTCAGCCTTATGGCGCCAACTGATGCCCTAGAAAAAACTAACTATAAAAAAAAAGTAAAAAAAAAAAAAAAAAAGGGGGTTTTTTATAGGAAACTGATAAATTGTGGTCACTTCAGTTGAAGATTAGCAAACACTGTTTTGTTGAACATTGCACATATTATTTTTCTATTTTCAGGTGCTGGAGGTTGTTTATGATTAAACTATGGAATCATAGTCTACTGGATTCTCGTACCATGAACAATTGTAACATAATTCTTGAGAAGCATCGGAAAGAAAGCTCGGATATTAAGCCTAATTGAAGGTGCCATTTCGCTCGCATGAAGCGTTCCTTCACCCGAGTCATTTTAGTACTCAAGCCCCGGCCCCATGGAATCTTTGGGCTGGTCGTTCAATCGTGTCATTCTTTATACACATTATAGTCTGGTTAAAATTGTTTTTCTTTATATAGATTCTACTATTTTTTCCATTCATAATATAAGCGGTGGAAACGATTAATACTACATACATTTGTATTTATTTAAAGATGCTATATCTTATTTTTTTGTCCCAATTTTAATGCATATCCATTTTTTAAAAAAACTTCTATTAGGACCACCCACATGAAGTTGCTTCTTGAACTTTGCTATGTCACTATGCCATGGAGTATTCTTTTAATGTTGTTAAATAGTGTTATATGATGTGTGAAAAAAAGGACTTTTTTTCATTTCTTTTCATTGGAAGCATTCATTTGTTGCTATTGCCTCCCTTCCCATTCCGCAGTAGCCTTAGGGCTCATTCGGGCCAGCTTATAAGTGCAAGCCGGCAGCTTATGCGAAAACGCTGTGGGGTTTTACACTAAATGCAGGCCGCGGGTCGAACCCCGAGGGTCACTCGCGGGCTGCATTTCAGGATAAACACAAGCTGCCCCAAACGCATTCTCAATATGGTAAATGTGAATGGATTATGCCTCACCTCAAAGTAATATTTACTGCTTGTTTTAATGTTTTTCTTTTTATATTGATTGAAATGGTATTTTCTGAGTGTTCCTTGTTTTAATGTTTTTTATATTGATTGAAATGGTATTTTCTGAGTGTTCAAAATACAACTACTTTCATTAATTCAAATCAATCACTATCTAGAATATAGTATAGGGATTTATTTGGATGTTAAATCAGTGAACATGCTTATAAATTTGTTTATAAAATACCTAGGAAAATGATATTTAAACTGAAATAAATTACTGGAATCGAATATCGGTTTATAGACATTATGAATTAATCTTGATCAAGGTAAGATTTTAAATCATTGGGTGAGCTCGTCAGCTCAACTCTCTAAAAGGATGTGTTGCTCTTGATGAGGATGTGTAGTTCATTGGCTACCTCGTTATGCTTGTAAGTGGATCACTGCACTTGAAAAACACTGCTGTGCCTGGTCGATTATTATTCAATCTAACTTATTTAAGTAAAAAAAAAAATTAAACTTTTTAAAGTTTGAAGGATTAGTGAATCAAGTTTGCAATTGGTTAACTTGTTCATATATATATATATATATATTATTAATACCTAGATTATGATCTTTAATTATATAAAATTAAAAGCTTTAAGTTGTATAAAAAAATTATTATCATTAATATTTTTTTAAAATATATCTTTTGATGCTTTTGTTTTCGTACATAAAAAATGTCCGCTCGAATCTTGAAAAAATCAAATGGGTCTACTTTATAAACATCAAAAAAATTATATTGGAATGGTCAAAACATGGGAACAATTGTGTTGTTTCTTTTAGTCAGAACTTTGAGCCAATTGAGCTTATATTTTTATTTATGTTCACAACGCAATTTGACAGCACTTAAAAACCCCACAAAAACTCGTAGGCCATGTGACATGTCAAGCAAGAGCCATATGAGAACCTTCGTTCGTAAGTTTCTCGATACCAGAAAGAAATGTTGAAAATATGAGATCTAGAATCCACTATAGCACATGCCACCCTGGTCCATTGGCTAAGGAGTGAGTGATTCAAATATACTCTAGCTATGCAACAACACGAGCCTGGTTAAACTCCTGGTGTTAGCCAACTGCCACATTGTAGTGGAGGAGTATGTCCACCAGTTCTACTAGAAAGCTGAACAATTCAATCACCGCTTACAGAAGAGAGCTTCACGAGAAGATGGGTGGAGGTGGTAGGATGGCCCACGATGAAAATAGAGAAGCCGATAAAAATCACCAGAGCTGAGGATAGAGAGGATCAAAAGATCGCACA